GGAATTTTTGTATGGTCCGACAATAATTTTTTGTGTATATTTTTATCGTGAGTTCGACCAGTCCTGTGTGGCACTGGGCTTTTTCGAATTATATGATTTTACTGAGTAACACACGAACGCGTAAAAATATTCGATAACAATTTTATTAATCGACGGAAGTAAATAAAAGGAATTGAACTAATGAACTCTATAATAATGTAAATGTCAATGAACAAACTGGAATACAGGAATTAGAACTCTTCTTGTTGGGTCTTCAACTTGGAATATGTTTCTTGGCGTTTTAATCGTACAACTTCGACGTGTGTATCCGATGGTGATGTCGATACAACTCCAATAAATAAAAAAAAAATGAATCACAAAAATCGGAGCCTATGGAAATTGCAAGCTGCGTGTGAAACTATACCAATGAGTATAGAATCCAGCAAAGAAGCCTAGGTCGACAAATAGCACAAGAAAGAAAAGAAGGAGGCGGATTGGTTTTCACAGAACCCAAGGCCTGTTTTCACTGGGCCTGTCTGTCAGTCGGTCGGCTTTCGCACAACCCTGGCCTGTTTTCACTGGGCCGTCAAGTCTGATCGGCTTTCGCACGACCAAGGGCCTGTTTTCACTGGGCCTGTCAGTCAGTCGGTCGGCTTTCGCACAACCTTGGCCTGTTTTCACTGGGCCGTCAAGTCTGATCGGCTTTCGCACGACCAAGGGCCTGTTTTCACTGGGCCTGTCAGTCAGTCTGTCGGCTTTCGCACAACCCCGGCCTGTTTTCACTGGGCCGTCGAGTCTGATCGGCTTTCGCACGACCAACACAAGACAACAAGAGTCAGAACAACACTGGTAACAAATTGTGTGTCTTCAGTACGCGTGCGAAACTATGCCAATGAGCATAGAGTCTCGTATTGAATCCACTTTTGAGAACTTAAGGCGTTTCTGAAACTATGCCAATGAGCATAGAATCACGCGTTAAGTCTCTTAGATACCAGAACAGGCACTGATTACTCGAAGCTGCCTAACTGGTGAACCCAAGGCTGACTCTTTGAGAACTTAAGACGTTTCTGAAACTATGCCAATGAGCATAGAATCACGCGTTAAGTCTCTTAGGGACCAGAAGAGGCACTGATTATTCGAAGCTGCCTCACTAGTCAACCCAGAGCGGACTCTCTCTAAGTCTTTTCACACCCTTCCTTATCAAAACAAAATTAGATTTTGTTTCGGGTGTTTTAAAACATAAAAATCTACAAGGCATGTCCAATTAATCAGAAAAAGTATTAATTAAATTTTAAAATAATTTATAATAATTTATGACGTCATCTAAATTGCAAAACAAAAAAAATACGTTGTCACCTATCGAGTAAATTAACTTGCACCATGCCCCCTATCGAGTGAATAAATTTCGCGTTGAAAATTTTGCAGTATTTTTAGTCAGCATTATAAAATAAGACAAAAGAAAGAAAGTTGATTGTCACTCAGTTAAATGTCAAAACATACATATATTTAACACAAAATCAATAAATAAATAGATGACCAAAAAGAAGTAATACTAATTCAAATGACGATTTTTAGGATTTATCCACACAAGTTATGTACAAAAATTTAACGCAATAATCAACAAGCCTCACAACAAATTATTAACCGACACAAGAATTAAAACAACATAATGATAGTACTGACTAATAAAGAACATAAAAAATAAAAAAAAAACAAAAAAAAATATTTCATTTCCATAATCACATTTAATTACCAGAACCGAAATGCTGCTTAAAAAGCAGCAACTTTAATTGTTTACAAAATAGAGGAAATGATATTCCAGGTAGACGTGAGTGAGGTTGGCAAATTATTCCACACCATCGGTCCAGCAACAGCAAAATTTCTTTTACCAGTCACTAAACGGGTTTGAGGAACGTCCAGCAAATTCCTATTATTGGATCTCAATCCTGGATAACCAGACGTTGAATCACGTTTAGTCAATCTACCGACCAAGTACGGAGGAGCACGCCTATTTAAAACTTTGAACATCAAAACAGCAATCTTGTAGATAATTCTCTTTTCAATCGGAAGCCAGTGCAGGTCCCGTAAAATCGGCGTCACATGATCAGATCTAAAACCTCCGACAACTAGCTTGGCCATGCGATTTTGAATTGACTGTAGTTTAGAAATTTCCAACATGGAGACACCGTAAAAAAGGCTGTTGCAATAGTCCAGCCTCGAGTGAATAAACGCGTGAGCCAAACTCTTCAGGGTAATCTCATTAAGTGAATTTTTTATAGCCCTCATCATGCGAAGTTGTCGATGACATTCACCAGTTAGCGACTTTATGTGGCACTCCATTGTCATATTACCATCGAATTACGAGCAACTTGACATAATTCAATCTTACTGTTGTTAATCTCAATCGAAGTGAAATTTAATTTGTTTATTTGCTGCCACGTACCAATTGGCAATAACTGGGTTTTGCATTGATTCAATTTGAGTTTGTGTTTGATCATCCAAGAATCAATCGCCTCCATGCACCGACCAAATCTTCCATCAAAGCTTGAAATGAAGTAGCTAGACCTCTGACAATGATTTGTATGTCATCTGCAAACCCATGATGCTTGAACCTGAATGAATCAATGATGTCGAAAACGTCAGCAGTGTATAGCAAAAACAGCAGCGGTCCAAGTACTGAACCTTGTGGTACACCATGCTTTACTTCCTGGACAGATGATAAAACATCTCTGCGTAATACCGGTTGTTTTCGCGCAGAGAGATATGATTCAAACCAAATAAGAACAACACCTGAGATTCCAAAACATTGACGTAGCTTTCCAAGTAAAATCTCGTGATTAACACAATCAAAGGCTGCACTAATATCAAGTAATGCCAAGATTGAGATATTTTGATCATCAATAGCAGCAAACAACTCAGATGAAACAACTATCAGTGCAGTTTCAGTTGAATGAAATTTTTTAATGAAATTTTTTAAATCCTGACTGACATTTTGGTAGCTGATCATTATGATTTAAATGACAAATTCGTTCAATAACTTTTGACAAAAATGTTAGATTTGACACCGGTCTATAACTTGATAAACTATTCTTGTCTAGTGTCTGCTTTTTTAACATCGGAACAACAATTGAATATTTAAAAGCCATCGGGAAATGCCCATAAGTTAAACATGCATTTACAAAAACAGTCAAAAACGGGAAAAACAGATGAACGTATTTTTTAAGTATTTTAGTTGGCAAATCATTCAGTGGGCACGATTTTGTAGGTGAATCCAAAATAACTTGACGAATCTCATCACTGGAACAGCACTGAAATAATGAAAGTTCAGTACATTCACTCATCCGATTGTTTGAACCAATAGGCTCTTTGATACAAGGCATCGTCTCTAGTATGTTGTCAACCTTATCTTTAAAAAATTTAGCAAAATCATCAGAATTTAACTCATCTGACATATTAAGCGAATCAACAGAATTCATCTTGAATAAAACCGTGTTAATTGTCATCCAGAGTTTTTTTGGATTGGAGCCATTTATTTCAATCATATTTCTCCAGTAGGCTTTCCTTTTTTCTGAGAGCAATGACTGTTTCTTCAACATAGCATCAACGAACTTTTTCTTGCTAACATCCCCAGGATTAAGTCGATAAGCTCTTTCAAGTCTTCTGCAGCGTAGCTTAGTCTACCTACACTCTTCATCGAACCAAGGCGAAGCAGCATTATTTCTAGTCATCACATAGTGTTTCGGTGCAACAATATCTATAATATTTTTAACTTCTTTTTTGTAAAGATCAAATAAGTATTCAGGATCATTAGGTCCATTAATAGGCGAGTTTATTATAAACGCGGCAAATTTATCAAAATCCACACGATTCCATGAACGAACCAGTCTTTTTTTCTAACAAAATAATTTAGCGGAATCGAAAAACATACTTGGACCAGACCATGATCGGAATAAATACCATATGGACTTACGGTACATGAGGAAACAGGCAATTCCATTGAGGATACCACTAGATCCAAGATACCACCATATACATGGGTAGTTTCCTCAACTTTATTTTCAAGGTTAAATTCATGAAAAACATCTACCAACCGAATTGAATGAATATCTCCAACCTTTTCCAAAAAACATTCAAATCCCCCGTAAGAATGACATAGTCCGACAATAACGAAATCTGCTCCAAGAGTGATGTAAGCTCATCAAAAAATGCAGGAAGTAATTGGTACAAAACCCGGTTGATAAACTGCCAATAACAGAATCGTTTTTTTACCGCACCGAAATTTAATGGCAAGTGATTCAAAGGAATTTACCACTGGTAATTCTATTTTTTTAACTTTGAAAACATTCTTTAAATATACAATTATTCCTCCATGATTAGGGTCGTGTGAGCGCAAATAATCCATAAATGAGAAGCCATAAGGCATAGCCAATTTCACATAAATATCATCAGATGATCCATGCCATGTTTATATATATATATATATATATTTTACAATATTCTATAAATTCTACCGAATGTTTGGCGTTAATATGTTTGTAGTTCGTTTTTTCAATTTTTCTCACTAAAGTTTTTTGGTGAACGTTTAGTTTATTAAAATTCAAAATAAACTTATTTTTCGAATTCATGCTGCAAATAAGGCCATATTTCGATTCCGAATGAATCATCGTCAGTGCTCCTTGTTGTATATATAGGAAAATATGGACTTTGTCAAGATTAGCTTTGACGTTGTAAAAATTAACTTTGGTGTTGTAACATTGAACTTTGATGCGAATTAGGTGTCAGGTTTCTTAATTGGCTGGTCATCTTCTTTGGTCTCCTTTTCTTCATCGATAGCATCATATTCTTCTTTGTCACTATTTACGATGCTAGTTCTTATTACTTCTTTGTTTTCGTTGTTGGTTAAGCGCCGGGTTGGAAGTGAGGTTGTCATTTTTTGTTGTATATTTATTTTTGGTTTATTGATGTCGATTAGGACTGCTTCTGCAATTTTAAGATGCGTGTAGTTGCTGTTCTGGTATATTACTTTGGTGTTGCTGTCGAGGATTTCACGGCTAATTGTGATTGAGTGTGTTGAGTCCAAATGAGATTTGATAGCACCACTCTGTTTATGTGTAAGCCTTCTAGTCAGTGAGGTAGTAGTAATCCCGATATATGAGTCATGTTGACGTGCACAGCCGTCAAAGGGGCAATTAAATTCATATATTACGTGATTACGCTTTAACTCAGAGTTATCTCTAGGACTGCAGTTGTTTTTTCAGTATTAGGTGAGACGTCTTTTTATTGTAGAAATAAATTCGGAGTTTAACTTTACTATTTGGGTTGGTTGGTGTGACATTTTTATTGATGATATGCTTAAGAATAGCTTCATCTACCTTGTATGCTGTTGACATGATTTCTGTAATACAAGATGATGTCGTTATCTTGATTGTTGGTACTAGGAAGGTTATTGCTGTGTAGTAATTTGTTTTTAACAATCTTTTCAATAGAGTAAGTCTTGTATCCATTGTTTACAAGCAGGTTAGTGACCCTCTTTAATTCAGCGTCGCGATTTTCAATATCGGAAGAGTGTGTGAATGCCGGTTCACAAATGATTTTATTGTGCTGTCTTTAAATTGTTCAGTGCATTCACTTTGTCCATTCAAACAAATTCCTGTATTCGTTTCTTTGACATAGACCGCGGTTTTGAATCGTTCTTCGCCACGGGTGACCAACACATCGAGGAAAGGTAAACGTTGTTCCTTTTCATTTTCAATAGTAAATCTAAGTTTTGATTTGTTTAAGGTACCAAGAAGTACCAAATCACCCAGTTATGCACTTTGCGTGTGTGATTGTGTGTATATGGGATTGTAGATATGTGATATTGTGTGTATGTAATTGTGTGTGCATGTGATTGTGCATGTATGAGTGAATGTGTGTACGTTTAAATGTGTGTACGTTTGAATGTGTGTATGTGAATATGTGTGTGTTTGAATGTGATTGTGTGTGAAAGAGTATGTGATAGCATGTGATTGTATGTGATTGTGTGTGTGTTTGCATGTGATTGTGTGTATTTAACCGTGTGTGATACTGAACTTAATTAATTTAATCAAAACTATCAATTAAGTACAATTATTTTCAGATTAAAATGTTGGTTTCATACAATGAAGAATATCCATTGTATATCACACATAATTCAAAAGCAGTTTCAAAAATAATATGGCTTTTTAAAAAGTCAAATTAACAACCGCTACAGTTTTGCATTCCAAACATTGCTTATTGTCACAGAGTACAGTTTTTAAGTTGAAAGTCGTCAGTAAATAGGTCAGTATATTAATCTGGGAGCAAACTTCAGTAACTGCACTAGAATGGATCAAATTGCAGACATTTTCAAATTGATCACAAGGAAATTTTTACAAAATGAAATAGTTCACGTCTAACCAAATCTGTCTATTCAAATTCAAGTTTTTATTAAGGTTTTAACGTTGCATAAAATAAATTCTCACATGACTGTTATTTAATAAATCTCTCTCTCTCTCTCTCTCTCTCTCTCTATATATATATATATATATATATATATATATATATATATATATATATATATATATATATATATATATATTGATGGAAATCATGTGATCGGCGTTAGTTAACTTCTAATTTAACTTTTCGATTTTTCTAACGGTTGATCGAATGCATACACAAAATGGTGCAATAAAAAATCAATTTATGAATTCACACCATATAAAAATAACTAGGGAAATATTAAACTCAAATAACAAAGTTTAATTTTATAACCATAAGAAAAGCACTTTGAGAATGGCAGAAGCTTTCTTACTAGAAAATAGAAACCCTGTAATAAACATCCAACAACAGGCTCTATTACACTAAAGATAGTAAAGGTTACCGAAAAAGTGCTTTTATGTAAATGTATATACGAAAAATGCAGTCTAAAATAATTAGAAATTTCATTATTAATTTGAATAAATTAAATAAAATCAATAAAATAATTGTTCGAAAAATTGATAAACTTAGTTACAAACTCAAAAATGCGGAAAATGCGTATAACTCTCTCTCTCTCTCTCTCTCTCTCTCTCTCTCTCTATATATATATATATCTATATATATATATATATATATATATATATATATATATATATATATATATATATGTATATATATATATATTTGTGTTTCAATAATTACAAACGACATTCTGATAAAAATGTAAAAGAGTTGATTACTTAATAATTTTGATTCCATTTTTGGTTTTTTAAGATTTGTAATATGAATAGGAATTTACATGTATTAAAATATTTAAAATATGCATTTTTACAATTGTCACTGGTGATCATTACAAGAAAACCATATTTTCTTTTCAATTTCCAGATCATTTCTTTTTATTGATATCATTTCTTTGATTTCTTTGTTTTGATTTGATGAAATAAAAAATGATAAAAATGTCAAATGTCAATATATATATATATATATATATATATATATATATATATATATATATATATATAATTTGGTATGAGGTTCTCAGATAAACATGTTCGGTTGAAGATTACACCCAATTTTTGCAGTTAGAAGCTTTTTAAATAAAATTTTAAAATATTAGAAATTTTATTTAAAAAACTTCTAACTGCAAAATGGGGTGTAATCTTCACCCGAACATATATATATATATATAATAGATTATAATTTTTTTGCAAAAAGAATATTGTAAATATATATATATACATATGTTTGTGTGTGTGTGAGTGTGTGTGTGAGTGTGTGTTTTTGTGTGTGTGTGTTTGTGTGTGTGTGTGTTTGTGTAGGTGATGTGAGGTGTTGAACTATCTACACGCTCAGTCGTGACATGTATGATTTGAAAAGGCAACGGCTTTAATGTCATAGCGGTCGATGTTTTGACTTCAACATCATATTAAATAAAAATCAATACAAATGTGTAAGTGAAACGATATTGATATGGGCAGATGTAAAGCGCCACACGCACCGCCGCTTCTGAAGCGACTGGAACCCACCGTCACAAATTGAAAAAAGTGACTCTTGCCTTTTGTGAGAACACACAATAATAAGAAATTGTTTCACCTCAAAGGTAAATCATTCCAAATATTTGGAGCAGACTAACAGATCGGGGTCCCGTTAAATGAAAGTTGAAATAAGAATGCTTGATAACAACAATAAGTGTCAACAACCAAAAATCATGTGCCCAATGTGTTGTATAGTGCAAAAGTATTATATTGAGAATGTCTTGAGTTTGATAATCAGAAGTCTAATGTTTGTCAAACGTTAACCCAAATATTTTTATGTAGTGTAAAATTAGTAGTTATAATTTTTAAAGTATAGAACATCTTAACAACTGCTAACGTCTTCCGACTAGTAAATGTCTCGAACTTATCAGCATTAAAGAGAAAAGTTGAACTCAATGCTTGTGATGTTATGTTTGTTGCTTGTACAGTAAGGAAAAGTGCGGAGATTTTGTGGAAGTGATTAAGGATAACAGAAATTTACATTTTGATAAAAATGAATATCTTACAATGTATTGGAAGAGGTTAGGGTTAAAAATAAAAAGATTTGTAGAAGGAAAAAAAATTATAAAAAGAATTAGGTCAAAAACGGTGAGAAACTGTGGCTTTGAACATGTTGGCAGGAAAGTCACCAAAATCGTTTGCAAAACTGATCAACACGAGTGTGTGTGTGTGTGGTATGTGTGTGTGTGGTATGTGTGTGTATGTACGTTTGTGTGGTGTATGTGTGATCTGTATGTGTATGTACGTGTGTGTGGTGTGTTCTGTGTGTACATGTTTGTATTCGTGTTGGTGCAAATTTGTATCACTACAAAATGGATCAACACCATCAACTCAAGCGACAAATATATAATCTGTTTCGGCAATAATCTCTTGTTAAGGTAATAAGCGGTTGTTGTTGTTGTCCTAGTCACAACACAGAAAGTAGTTGTAGCAAAATGTGCCAGTAATTTTAGTAATAACATAACTTCAGTTGATATAAAATCACTCAATGATTTCATTATTATGATATTGGACACCAAAATCTTCAGCATCTTAATCTTATCATTATCAGCATTCTCGTCATCAACATTTCGTTTTGTTCATCAACATCATCCTCATCATCAGCATCATCTTCATCATCAACATCATCTCCTCGTCATCAACATAATTGTCATCATAACTTACGTTCAGTTTGATTAGCTTGACCCTCAGATTGCCCTGCAAATATCATCATCAGCATGATCAGCTGAGCGTAAAAAATTGAACGTAAGCACGTGAATTTGAGATTTGAAATTTGTAGCACCATTTTTGTGGTTTTTGTTGTTGTTGCGTTGTCACTTTCAATTTTGTTCGAACTGGTGATGTTGTTGTTAATGTTATAGTTACGTTGCTTGTGTTTGTAAAGATTAGCGTTTATACACATATGTCG